CCCAGATTCGAAAACACCGGTATACTAAAATATCCAAATCGAAAAATCCCTAGAGCAAAAAGTCCCTAGATCCAAAATACTCTAGACCTTAAAACCTCCATATCTCAAAATCCATCTTCCAAAATCCTTATATCAAGATTTCCCTGGCTACAAAAATTCGTAGATCAAAAAATTCCCTAGATCAAAAATTCCCTAGGGCCCTAAATCAAAAATTCCCTAGATCCCAAAATCCCTAAATAAAAAATTCCCTGGGGCCCTAAATCAAAAATTCCCTGGATCCCAAAATCCCTAGATCAAAAATTCCCTGGTTCCCAAAATCCCTAAATCAAAAATTCCCTAGACCCTAAAATTGCTAGATCTAAAATTCCCTAGACCTCGGAACCTTCATATCTCAAAATCTTCCAAAATCTCTAGATGAAAATTCCCAAGATCCCAAAATCACGAGATCTAAAATCCCTAAATCAAAATTTCCCTAGATCCAAAAATCGCCATCTTTCAAAATCCCTATGTCCCAAAATACCTACCCCCAAAATTTTCTAAATTTTCTATATACCAAAATCCCTATATTCTTAAATCAACAAATGTTTAGATCCAAAAATCCCTAGCCATAAATGTATATAATATATATAATATACAGGTAAATATAAATTTCAAAACATGATTTCATTATAAGTAACTGCATTTGCTACGTAATTGTAAAGTGGTAATTCAATGTGAAAATAATTGCATTAATTCATCAATAAAAATAAACTGTGGTAACATTATGAAAATAGGAAATGTCAATAATACAAGTACTAGTTTAATTCATTTACATTGCCTATAGGTATAAATAATATAATACAATATAATCGGTTCTTATTTTCGTATTATCACTGTACTTGTTATCGCAGTCAATGGTTTTAGTTATAAATACTAAAACCGTGGAATCACAGAATGAATGAACGATAAAATGAAGTTCACTGACGCCTACAACTATACTTCCTGGTTCTAAATTCGTTGTCTCCGAGCACACACACGATTTTCACAGTCATTTAGATATAGTGAGAGGCGAACGAACAAAAATTCCGGCAACAATTTTGCTGCTTCTGTCTGATAAATTTTTAGCTAAAAATTATTTTGATAACAGCTTCCTTTCACACTCAAATTATTTTCCACGTTTTATTGTTAGGAGGACGTATCTAAACATTTCTTTTCAGTTATATTAAAATATTTTGTTTGTAAATAATTGACGTTTCATTTCATTAGGTTATGATTTGTGTAATTTGTATTTTATTTATTGAATTTAATTGTATCGTTATTAATCGTAATTGTGCCATCACTGATCAAAGTTTTATGCAGTTACAGAATAATATTGCATTTAACCTGTATATTTATTTTAAAACTCTTCGTATAAAATAAAAGTAGAGACAAAGTAGATTAAGATATTTCAAGCAGTCTGTGCTCAGAACGGTATAAAAATTTATAGCGGCCCATCAAAAAGTTGTAATTTCTTCCTTTTAAGATCTTTCTAAATTACGAAATTTTACGGCTTATAATATATTCATAAATCAAGGATAATTATTAACCATAACATCAGATGTCAATTAAAATTTTACGACCGAAAACCACTACACCTTTAACTACTCTATAAAAGTAAACTTAATATTCAAAGTACCTACTTATAAAAATCCATAAAATTTCATGCATATCGTTTATAAATAAAATTTTATCAGACCTCGAAAACGCAATTCGGGACAAGAATATGAACTGATCAGAAAACGGTGTAATTAGTTTTTAACGAACAGTACAGGATGGTCGGTGGTACAGGAAATAGAATTTAAAATCGTTTTTTTTCCACAGGTCGAACATCGGAATGAAAATTCATTTCTAGGTGGAAAAACCTGAGCTACAACTGCAATAACAAAAAGAGCGTAATGAAGATCGGATGTTCAATAAAACATGAAGAATATGAAGCGGGTTTACAAATAAAGTATTAGTGAAAGCAAGCAGAACGATGATATAGAAAATGAAGATTACAAGTATTTCGTTATGCACAATGTCTCTTTTAGTTAAAACAATTATAGTTCGAAAATCATTTTTTAATACTATAATATCATTTAACTGAAAGTACATCCTCGTTGTCTATACAGTGATTGTAAATAAATAAATGTTATAAAATTTTGTAAATTCTGTAAAGAATTTAAAAGAATGACTACAACAAAAAATAATTTTTTAAATATTTTTGAAACAATGTTTGTTCTTTGTTATGGATAAAAATGTAAAATAATTAATAAATTAATTAAATTAATATATGAGTTCCTTTTGTGAATTTTGTGAGGAATTGATAAATTTCAAAAAATTATTTAAGACAAAAACTAGCATTTTAAATCTTTCAGAAAAAATATTTATTATTAGTTTCAGATAAAAACGTAAAAAATATTTAACAAATTCATTAAATTAATAAATGAGTAAGTTCTGTGAAGAATTGGTGCTCTTAGAACTGCGATAAAGTTTTTAAATCTTTTGGAGAAAATCTTTGTTCTTTGTTTCAGATAAAAATAATCGATATTGAAGTTATTCACTATTATAATAAATATTATAGTAATAAATATTAATATTATAATGTTACAGTATAGTAATAAATATTAATATTATATTTCAGTATAAAAATAAATATTATAATATTGAAGTTATAAAGAAATCTATTAACAATTTACTACTTCTGTTAGATATTAACTTCTACTAAATTGTTATTTATTTAATAAATAATAAATTAAGAGAGTTGAGGCTTTCACGGCCCGCCGTCATACAGAAATTAAATACTTAAATAATAAATAAATCAGACAAATAATAAATTAAATAGTATTTTATAAATACCTCTCTACGCAAGAAAAAGCGAAGATCATAAATCTAGTTTTTAATTTAACATGTATTTCCAATGAGTAGATCGACGACATAACAGGAAGAACCGAAGTGAAACGGGAAAGCAACAGTGAAACGGCCGGAAATGAGAATACACGTAATAGAATTTACGAATTCACACTTTGAAGATGTGTATACTTATCCGTGCATACGTAAACACCTCCACCGTCCCGCAAAAGGGACGTGGGATAGTTCTTTTTACGCAAAGATTCTTGTTTGGCCGTTTTACGCGCTTGACTGACCCAAGTCATGTACCCATGACCTTGCATTTAGCTGAATAACCTTTATACAGAGTGTTTCAAAATGGTTGCACGAAAATTTGGGCATAAATTCGAAGGAGAAACAGTTTCTATGAACATGTGGTGAACAAGAAAAGAATTAGCAGGTCAAGATTTTAAGGATTTATGCGAGATAGGGTTTTCTAAATTTTCATGGGTCAAGATTTACATTCGAAAATAATTTTTCGTAAATGTATTTGTAATTACTATTTTTCGAAATTAAAAATTTAACAATTCAAAGATTAGTAAATTACAGAACCCTAACATGCAAAATTCCAACATTAAAAAATATCAAATCTTATGATGAAAAAATCTTAAAATCCTACAAATAAAAAATCCCATAAGTAAAAAATTTCCCATAATTATATGAAAAAATTGCCTATAATTAAAAGACTCATATTCAGAAAATACTACAACTGTAAAATTATAATAAAAAAATCCGAAAATACCATAATCAAAAAATCCATAATTAATGAATACAAACATTCTACAATTGAAAAATATGTAAATGCGATTTTTTATAAAATAAATGGACAAAATATGTAAACGCCTGTACGTCAGAAAAATTAACCCGTTGATTCAATTTAATATCATAAGAATAACTGGATAGGAAATATTAACTGGTACGAAATATAATTTAAAAATGTCTGAAGATTTTTTAAACTCTCTGTATACAAACGTACGCACTCGAAGACGAATTGAATCCAGTTCTACGAAGCAAGACAGGCTGCTTCTTCTGTACGCTTGCTTTCATCGTTCGGTCAAATGCCCGCATTATATTCACGGATATTAAATTCACGTTAGAGAGAAGAAGCCGGGGAAACATCCGGGGAGGTCTTGCCACCAATTTTAATTCGTCCCATGTGAAACGAATTTACTCTAACTCTACTATAACGGAACATTAATTTCACCGAGGATAATTGTATAATCAGGATATTTTAGCAAATGTTATTAATAATAGCGTGCTGATTATACGGACCGAATAATTATTATAAAATTGATTTTTTATGCTATTATTAATTGGACTTTAATTACAAATGCTCCGATTATTATTAAAAGACACATTTGTTAAAAGTCTGCCTTTACATTTTTTGCTATTAACAATGAGACATTAATTGAAATGAAGTTAAGTTAAAAATCAGCTATATTTGCTTATTCTGTATGTCATTAATAATAAATTTATTATAATTATTAGTTATACTTTTATTTTAAATAATTTGTCAATAATAATGTTAAAAAGTCACACACAAACTTCTGAAACCTTATTCAAAATGTCCTTCTGTAGATTAAACAAATTCTACGTAATGCGATCATTCAACTCTATGACGTAACATGGAGAACCAAATTCCGCCATTTTGTTTCAAAATACTTGCAATCCGACACCAGTAAAGAAATTAAAAACAACAGCAGTAATCAAAACAATCAAAAGCAACAGATTCATGGTTTTCAGTAACAAATTACATGATAACAAAAATTATGTATTTCTCAATTACTAGTACAATTATTGTTAAATTATATACTAATTGATATATAGATTACAAAGTAGCAATTCTGTAATGACAACTGGAATTTTCCAATGATGATTGACAACCTCTAAATTTTAATATTATATCTTACTTTTAAAAACACGTTAAAAACTGTGAAATGAGTGAATACACTCCATATTTGTTAATATAATTTGCTTATAAAAATTTCTTTACGAGGCAGGGAATATAACATCACTTGACAATGATTATAGAATTGATAACAATAATTTTTCAGCAATATGCGTTTTCACGATAATTTGCTAACTACATTTAATAAATAATGATTTTAACTTACGTTTCTGTATAAATGAACTGGAAATATATCACTAGCAACACTAACTTACACTTGCTAAAAGCACAATGACGGTATCACAAATAAAATAGCAAATTCTGCAAATTCGTATTTGTTACGAATCGAAAAGTATCAGGTGTACCAATGCAAGACTCTTGCGCTTGCGCAGATCATACAAAGTTCATGTTATAATGGTGGTAGCATTGCACACATGCGCCACTCATGAATTGTCACCTTACTAACAAACTTAACCTAAGTTTCCTTTAACTTGTAACTGTTCTTATATGTGTCTAATATAATACATATTTCTTGAAGGATAATTATATTAAACTAAAACAACATGTCGGAGCGTAAAGTTTTAAATGTAAGTAAAATTTTGTATAATTGATTACTTAAACTTAAGCATAACAACTGTTTTTGTTATTGTTTACATTGGTTATGCATGTTAAGTTTATTCAACTTGTTAATTATAATATTTACATTTTAGAAATATTATCCACCGGATTTCGATCCGTCGAAGATTCCTCGTATGAAATTGGCCCGAAATAGGCAATATACGGTACGTTTGATGGCTCCTTTCAACATGAGATGTAAAACTTGTGGAGAGTATATTTATAAAGGAAAGAAATTTAATGCTCGTAAAGAAGACGTAGAAGGTGACGACTATTTAGGAATACGAATTTACAGGTTTTACATAAAATGCACTCGATGCCTTCAAGAGATAAGTTTTAAGACAGATCCGAAGAACACAGATTATGAGATCGAAGCAGGTGCTACCAGGAATTTCATGGCCTTAAAATTGGCTGAAGAGCAAGCTCAGAGGGAAGAAGATGAAGAGAAGGAAGAGGAAGCTACCAATCCAATGAAACTATTAGAAAAAAGAACATTACAATCGAAACAAGAATTAGAATTATTAGAATCCTTAGAAGAATTAAAAGATCTTAATCGCAGACAGCAAGCAATTGACTATGATCAAATGTTAGAACAATTTGATACAGAGACAGCTAAGCAAAGGACAGAAAAGGAACAAGAAGAGTATGATGAAGAATGCATTAAATCGATATTTGGTAAGAAGACTATTGTGGAGGAAGAAATTGTTGAACTAGATGAACAAGAAACTAGTGAACCACCAAGGAAAATAATCAAAACAAAAGAAGATAAGAAAGAAAATAGAAAAGAAATTAACAATACCGTGTCAACAACAGATACAATAACGGTAGATAAAGATAAGGTAATTATAAATTAGTTTTTAATTCACAAATGATACATTTACAAAAATTACAATTATTTTCTTTCTCTCAAGGTGAATAGCAAACCAAGTGCAAAGTCATCTAACTCGTCATGGTCTGAAAGTGTGGGTACATCGTCAAATAAAAAGAATTTGTTGGGTATAGTTAAAAGGAAAACAAATATAGGTATTAAAACAAACACAGAAAAGCAAAAAACTGAAATTGTCACAAAAGATGAAACAAATCCTTCAAGTAAAGAAAGTAATAGTAGTGCAAGTGTAAATACGTCCGAAAGTACAAGTAACGCAATAAGCAATACCAACAGTGGGCTCTCCTTATTGGGAGCATACTCTGGCAGCAGTGAAAATGATAGTGATTAACGTACAGTACTGTAAATATAATTTAAGTTCATCCAATTTATTATAAAATAAAATGTATAAACACAATATACAGATATACAAATAAGTCTTATCAAATATACATGTAAATTGAAATACATAAACAATTTTTGTTAACTGTTGCTAACGAATTTAGGATATGACAATCACTGTTTAATTTATACACCTTTTAAAATGTTGCGAACAATTTCTACTTCACTTTGACCAAAATCTTGCAAATGTAGTAGAACGCTGTTCATCAATGATGTAACGGTTAGTAACTAATCGCTTTGATTTTGATGTAATTTGATGGAGACATATACGTCGACGATGATTAGAAAGTTCCTTACAGGATGCCGAAACCTTTACCCCTAAAACACAGAAAATACAATCGATCAGAGAGACAAAGGGATTAGAAATCGGTCTGTTTCAAAGGCTAGGCACTCTGTAAGAAACTTTTCTATCAACAATATGACATTGAAAACTTTGTAGCAGGGAGTACCTAGCCTATTAAATCAGACCATATTCACAACATTCAAATTTATTTACAAAGTTATATCTCAGATTGCATGCAGTCGAAATTATCATTAAAACTTATATGAATTTCACTGGTAGACGATAGTAGCACGCTTTGCAATATTCATATTTAACAAACACCGTATTCTTACAATTATTATAGCAACTCCAGAAAATTTGATCAAATCTCATCTGTCACTCACAGGCAATTATATTTTTACAACAATGTTTGCAACATTACAGCAAGGTGTCTTACTTGCAAGTGCCAAAAGTACCTTAGCAGATGATACAACGAAATTTTTATAAATTCATGCCATGAGATTCTGTCCTATTTGTCGACGGCCAAAAACGACGACGAAGATCATTACGTAGTTGATATTCTTTCTGATAATGCAACTCCCTGCTACTGTCGTCCACGTTATCAGAGTCTCCATGCCGATTGAACATCGAAGTATAGTTTCTACTCTTAACCGGTAAGTTACGAAGATAGTCAACGCGATAATCACGATCATCTGAATCTTTTAACCCTTCCAGATTGTGCCTATTCCCGGACCAGTCACGAAAAGCCTCAGAGTTATTGTCGTCCGAGTCGTTCCTGTCTAACCATCGTCCATCGTCCTGTCTCAAGGTCTCCGTTTCTCGTCGACAACGTTCACAGATATAAGATTGATCTTCGTCGGATGAAGTCTGTCGCGGCGTCTCGTTTTCATAATCGTGCACGAAACAACGACCATCTTGCAACGGCACAGAATGAGACAAATAATTTGACCTTTTGGCAACCGAGTCGTGCGAGACATACTGCGAGCGGAACGAATTTTGCAACGGAGATGGTTCAGAATCGCTGTAATAGTCCTGCGACGTTTCCTGTTCACTGTCTACGGGAAATTTTAGAGGAGACGGAGACTTTTCCCTAACGTACCGCTGTTCCTTGCTCCTTTGTATGGCCAGCTCTAGTTGAGCAATGCGATTCTCGAAACGTGTGCGCTGTGCCTGGGCACGATCTTGCTGGTCCTCCATCAGCTTCACCATCTTCTCCAGACGCATTATCTGCCGCTGCTTGTTCTCCAAAGTCGTGTACAACTCTTGAATCATTTCCGCTTTGGCCGCTATCTGTTTCTGAACCTACATAGATTTTATTGCACCAGATAGTTTGCAAAGAATAATTATTTTGATCGAATTTATTCAGAGTCCAATTTCTAAATTAGAAAATTTAGGGATATAGTTTTCAAGTCTGCAAAATTTTAAAGGCCTCAAGGTTTTCTGCATTGCTAACATAGCCCTGTAGCGATATAACAAGGGTCAGTAACGTTGGAAATAATATCGATTTTTGCCCCAGGTCTCGCACATTCTGAGTACTTTGGTATGCTAACATTAGCATAACTACGATTATGTAGAGGGTAGATCAGGTTCTTATATTCTCAGATACAGTACTGAGCACAGGGGGCTAGATTACGGAAAAGATAAAGGAAGGCATACGGAATTATTGAGCATACTATTCTCGAGATAAAGTAGTGGTAGAAAGGCGTGCTCCAATACTCGTAAATTAGTTAATATTCGGAATTTTTATGATTTAAAATTTCTTTTTTAAATTCTGAAATTCCCAAGTATAAAAATTAAGGACCTTAAGTTTCGATATTCCAAATTTTTAAATTCTAAAATTATGTTAAACATAAAAAGGAAGAAATATAAAATTACTTGATCATATTCGTTGTTTTCGTCGCTGTTGGACATTTCCCCATTTTCCTGTTGCGTCTTTCCCTTCAAAATATCAAGCAATTCGTCTCTGACCTTAAGAAACTTGCTCTGTTCACGCATCACACGATCACGCTGTTCCAGCTCCAATTGCTTTTGAGTCAATGCAATTTCTAGCTCCTCTTTTTGCCGAACTACTTCCGCCAAATTGTTACGGAGATCGGAAACCTGTTGTTGAAGCTCAATCGCATGAGCGCTCGACCCAACTTTGCCACCCTCTTTTAAATGTGTCTGCAGTCGATTCTGAATCTCTGTCAACTGCCTTTCTAACATTCCATTTCTTTCTTGGCTGTTTCGTAGCAGAAAAAATAGAGAAGAAGATTGTTAGTTGCGTTGTTCGACTCCTCGGACGTGGAGAAAGTAGCGTCATTAGGGCTGAATGTTCTATGCTACGTCCGGTTTCATGTACTGATGTAACTGGCTCTCAAAAAGTCGAAAAAGAAGTAAACTTCACGAAATCTTGACTTGATTCTTTCTTTGATTTGAAAAAATGTGAACTGAAATTTTTATTTGTTAATAGAAATATATTGAGCTGTAATTTTCATTTGGTAAAAAAAAAGTTGAAGTGAAATTTTTGTGAAATTGTACAGATTTTAGTTTTAATTTTGTTGTTAACCCTTATAGTAGTTTTTTAATGTAATACAGATGGATATCTAAAACCCGTTGCAATATGCAAGCAACATTATTAGTATTGTTCGACTTTTCACGACTGATAGTTTCAAAAGTAGCGTCATTGGAGCTAACTCTAGTAAGGAACAAGTAAACAAGTAAAATTGAGTGAAAACCGAACATAGCGTGCACATTTCGTTAAATTAGATATAACTTACGCGTTTTTTGCAACCTTTTTCAGTTCCGTATTCTGCATCATCATGTTTTGTAGTTCGTTAGTCTTGAATACAAGTTCCTTAGCCAATTTTTCTCTCGAGTCTTCTTCTTCTTCGTGACTCTGACCCACGGGAACAGAAAAAAGGACGCGGAAAGAAGATGATTAAAAATTATCGTCTTGTCATTGAAATATACAGAACTCGACTGAATTCGTGGTGCTTCGAAATAATTATTGAAAGCAAATTATTTTCAAGTTTTCCCTCTCAAGATATTCATTGATTCATCGAAAGTTTAGAAGTAGACGCAATTTCATTTAATTTTGTATTACTATATTTACCAATGTATTTAAATTTTCTAATTTGTAAAAATGAGTGTAAAATTATGAGTAGAATGTTGATGCAATTTAAATTAGTTCTGCTATGAAAATTAATTAATTTTGAAAATTTAAAATATAGATATTTAGAATTTGAAACCGAAAATTTGTAATTAGGTTTGTACTTGAATATTGGAGACACTTTAAAAAAAAATTTATACATAGACCATCTAGTGATTTTCTGAAGTATAATTTCTCATCCAGTCTTGCCAACAGAAAATTCTATCGTAGATTTTCATTGTACATGTCTTCGCGAGTAAAACAGTTTTTCCACCATTTATGCGCCACGAATTTAATCAAGTTCTATATAAAAGTATATCTAACGAACGAAATGATCGCATTGAGTAGTTCTTAGGACTTATACGAGGACATATCCCGAAAGTAGTGCAAACTAACGGCCGCTTGATGCATCACTGCAACGATCTCCTCTTTCTCTTGTTGCAGTTGAAGCATCATTTCTCTCTGCGTCATCAGTTCTTTCCTAGTTTCCTCTAGTTCCTTGAACAAACGGACTTCGTTCTCCGAGTGACTTCCCTCTAATGAACAATAAACAATTTTTTTTTTAATTTTAATTCCATTTTGAGGATTATAGTTTTACTCGAATTTTTAAACTAAATTTTTATTAATTGTTTTTCGTTGACATTGCTTGAAGGTGAACTGTTTAACTCCCGGAAACTTTTATTATAATAAGCTTGTTCTTTAACATAGAAGGTACAATAAAAAATGTGGTTCCTTCATTATTAAATAAATGTGCGAACGCAGAAGAAATTGAAAGTTTTTCAATGACTTAGAATTACTTTTTCAAAAGTATTTAGTAACATTCTATTAAATACTTAATTTTGTTGGTTTTGTCTAAAAGTTGAAAATATATATACTAAATGCATATTATATTCGTGTTTCCTTGTTTAAAAGTTATAGTTTTTAAAAGTTTGTTACATTTCGTACCTATAATCGTGAAATCTTTATTCTTTTCGGCGAGTTCGCATAACTGTTGACTCTTCTCTTCGAGGTTCTTGTACCGTTCTTCCAGCTCGCCGAAAGCTTCTTCCACTTGTTGTCTGTTTAAAAATAAATGTTTACGAAAAAAAATTAGAGACTTTACGAATGTTATTTCGATTTGACAGATTCTACAAATTAATTGAATATTCTGATGCTTCAAAATAACAGCGTACAAATTAGGTATTATTATTTAGGTTGATTTTAATTTTATTTCAAATTGTTTCAGTTTGAAAATTGGCGTATTATGAAATTACTGTACTTTAATATTACTGAATTTCTAAGTTCTGAAATTATTAAATTATTAAAATAATAAATTATTGAATGTCTAAATTATAAAATTATTAAATTATTGAATTATTGGATTATTAAATTATTTAATTATTGAATGTCTAAATTATAAAATTACTAAATTTCGAAATATTTATTTAGAGCTATTAATCCAAAATGTGAAAACAACATGAAACCCTTATAATTCTAAATTTCCAAAGTTCTAACTTAATAAATTTAATCTACTGCCCAATACGTCCTACGTATCATACACATCTAAAAATATGCATCCAACCATCACACGTATTTCAAAGAAAACATCTATTACTACGTGCCCCAATTTGTTAAGAATTTTAACAGAAACTCGTATTTTTGCCGAGAACAAATTCCCAGGGTTGTACTTTTTGACCCAAACAAGTTCTAACCTCTCAACCGCTTTATTCGTTCAAGACGAAAAGGATATTTTTCAACATTCTCCCTTTATCTTCCTGCAAAAGAAGTTTCCTCGTTACCTTTTCTCCCTTTCCACTGCAACTTCATTAATGACCTCGTTCAGCTTCTCGGACAGCTCCTTGATAGTGTTCATGGCGTCATTCTCTTTACTGTTCATCTTCTCCTTCAGTTCCACCAGCCTAAAGCAGGCCAGATCAAGAGGACACGAAAATCTAGCCTCACGATTACAACGACCGCGAATAATTCGATAGTTATTAGAGAGAACAACCGTGTTTCCAGTGTGTCCCGCTGTTTCTCCACCTTATCGACCAATCCTTTGCTGCTCTTCATCGTTTTCTGCATTTCCTTTAACCTCACCTCCATCGACTGATCTTTCTGCTTCATCTGCGTCTCCAGGCTCTTCACGCTGGTCTGCAACTGCAAAATCTTCGCGTCGTCGTTCGCCACATGTGCTTCCAGCTCTCGTATCTTCGCACGAGCCTTCAGCAACTTGGCCTCCATGTCCTTAACACGTTCCTTGCTTTGGTTACTCTTCTCCCGTTCCGTCTGCAACTCCTCCGCCGTGCTGTTCAACTGAGACTCCAGCTCCTTCTGGTTCTCGATCACCTTCAGCTCCTTCAGCTTCATCCTGTAACTCTCGTAACCTTTCACCAGGTCGCGCACGTTCTTCATCAACTCCGCCATCGAGTTCGCTTCCGCTTCTTCTATCTCGACCAACCGGCTCCTCAGGACGTCGCACTCCTTCTGATGAGCCTCCAGTTGCATCGTCAACACGGAATTCGTGTCGTCGACACCGACCTCGCTGGCGTTTATCAGACGCGATGTGACGAAAGCCACGAATTCTGACTGCTTGTCCAGCAGCTCCTGGCAGAGAGCCTGCGACCGCCTCGGGATATCGTGCAGCTTGTTTTCGAGGCTCCTCAGGAACTCGCCGCCGATGGCGAGCTTCTCGAGGTTGTTGTCGATTTGCTCTTTCGCTTCGATGGGCGACTTCGGGGATCCTACCTCCACCTTTACGTCTTCTAGTTTACCTGGATCCTTGCTGCCGGAGGAGATCAGCTTCTCGCGGATCTGCGTTATGTCGTTGTACAGGTCTTGCGCGTGTTTCTGTGAATTTACGACTCGTTAGATCACTGACACTAATAGGATAGTTAAATAATAGGACACTTAATTAATTAATAATTAATAGGATAGTTTGCAGCATCAAACCGGTACTTTAGTAAATATTAGATTGCAACTTCTTAATACAGTGTCAATTGTTGAAATTCTATATCATTACAATATTAGTGTCACTATTTCTAGATATCTTCTGATTTCTAATCAATCTTGTGGATCTGATTGCTAACTTTTGCGAGATACTACGATTGCAACATCAAAATTTAATTTAATCCCTGATAAGCCGAAGGACCATAATTTCTGCTGAAATGGCATAAAATAATAGCTTCAAAAGAATAAAAACTTTTCAACTGAAAAGATTTCGAGATACTGTTTGAGTGCAAAGAGCTATCTCACCCTGATCGAGTTATATGTCTTTTATGTACCTGCTTGTCCAGTAAGTCTTTCTTCAGTTGCAGGTAACGTTTCTTTTTCAGAGAATACTGTGTTTCGAGCTTCATAGATCCAGTGGTTAAAGCCGAGGACGGTCTTTTGTACGAAGTGGGGCTGACCGATGATTTCGTCGATGTCCGACGAACAGAACTGCCCTGCGGTTTGTTACCAGTGAAAGCATCTTCCGTCGAATTACTCACAGAGTCTCCCTAAAATTGTATCTCACGATTGCATTCGATTTTATCGTTATCGATCGTCAACTATGCGAACAGAACTTGATGCAATTTCGATTTAAACGATGGGATTTAGTTATTTCGAGCTTGTTTCATTGATACGTAATTCTAGTAGGCGAAATTCAAATAGGTAAAAGTTTTAGATAAAATTTCATGTGTTTTGAATTTTTAGATAAAATTTCGTGTGTTCCGTTAATGTTTTTTGATAATTTTGGAATGAAATATTTGGAAAATACGTACAGGGGTTGAACTGCGGCCGGATTGAAGCGGTGTTCGATTTTTTTGAGATGGGGCTTTACTTCCTGGACTTTGCATCGTGCCTTTTTCGGTAACGCTCGCGGACTCTTCGTTCTCTGAATTGTGTAGTAAATTAATGATGAGCAATTTGGGAATTTGGGAATTTAGGCATTCAGGGATTTGAGGATTTGAGAATTTGTAGATTTGGAGATTTGGAGATTTGGAGATTTGGAGATTTGGAAATTTGAAGATTTGGAGTTTGGGGATTTAGAAATTTGCAAATTTGGGGACTTGGGAATTTAGAGATTTAAAGATTTGGAAATTTGAGAACTTGAGAATTGAGGGATTTAGGAGTTTAGGAAGTTGAAAATTTAGTAGGAATTTAAAAATGTAAGAATTTAGGTACTTATTTCGGGAATTCATGAATTTTGGAAATTTAGAAATTTAGAAATTTAGAAACTTAGAAAATTAGAAATTTAGAAATCTAAAAATTCAGAAATCTAGAAATTCAGAAATCTAGAAATTCAGAAATCTAGAAATTTAGAAATTCAGAAATCTAGAAATTCAGAAATCTAGAAATTCAGAAATTCAGAAATCTAGAAATCTAGAAATCTAGAAATTCAGAAATTCAGAAATCTAGAAATCTAGAAATTCAGAATTCTAGAAATCTAGAAATTCAGAAATCTAGAAATTCAGAAGTCTCGAAATTCAGAAATTTAGAAATTCAGAAGTCTAGAAAGTTAGAAGTCCAGAAATTTAGAAGTCTCAAAATTCAGAAATTTGGAAATTTACAAACGTAGAAATATAAAATCGTAAAATTGTAAAAATGTAAAAATGTAAAAATGTAAAAATGTAAAAATGTAAAAATTGAAATATTCAGTAATTTAAAAAAATAAGAATTTAGGAATTAAACAATTCAAGAATTTAGTAATTTACGAATTTAAACCTCAAAATTTTCAGAACAGTGTTCAATAAATCAACGACCTGCAAAATCTCCCCAATTACTCTCTCAACATATCCCACTTTTAACCTCCACAGAAAACCAAACATCCAATTCGGATCCCCCAATCTCTCCTTCATCTCTCCACCCCAATATCTCCCTCTCAAACATTTCAGTTAAAATAAAAATAAACAAGAAGCATATAAATTCGACTAAATAATTTCATTTAGAAAAATATACGAATAACCATGTTGACAACCTGACGGATTGCAGGATACTGTTAATTGACTCATTCTGACAAATAATGATTCGGCCTCGCAGCAACACGATGATCGGTGCGCTGGTTTCGATGTTCAGGACACGGGGAGGATTTTGCGGCGTTATTGTAAAAATGATCAGATTTCGATTTCATGTTCCTGCTGGTCAGGACAGCGAGATCGTACGACAGTCCACTCGTTCAAGAGACAGTCGACGACTTCGCGACATTGAAGACCATAAAGCACTCGAATATTATGCGACTGAACGGCCGAGATTTATTCGCGATTTAGACCATCGCGCTCGGCATAATCGATACACGAGCTCGTGTCGGGTGAACAGTCCGCTCCCGTTTGCCGCGAACCTCTTTTTTCGGGCCGCAACGCGACGATTTACCTGGTGCCACGGAATGTCAAAAAGGTAAAAGAAGAATTGACGAACGTAAAGTTGACAGTCAATCATTGGCGTAAAAGTAAAGCGGACATGTCACACACGGCGACATGGATGCATTCGAGATACGAATTTCTAGATGTTTCGAAATTTGTAGAAGAGGAAACATGATTATATAGAAATTTGAAAATTAGGGAATTTCACACTTTTGGTATTTGATAATTAGGAGGTTTGAAGATTTTGAAAATTGAGAAATAGAGATTTTTGCACTTAGAAATTTGAGAAATAGGAAATTTCTCGTATTCGTAATTTGAGATCTAGGGAATTTGACACTTTCGAAATTTAAGAACTAGCCAAAAACTTTGGCGTTTTTGAAATTTGAGAACTAGGCAATTTAGTATTTTCGAAATTTGCAAACTAACAAATTTGAGATCTAGGGAATTCGGAATAGGTGAAATTTAAGAACTAGGGAATTTTATATTTGCGAAATTTGAGAATTATGTAACTTCTCATTTCCGAAGTTTGAAGATTAGGGAATTTGACACTCCTGAAATGTGAAAACTAGGGAATTTGACATTTTCAAAAGTTGGGAACTAGAGAATTTCTCATTTTTCAAATTAGAGAATTAGGCAATTTAATATTTTCGAAATTTGAAAACTAACAAATTTGACACTTTCAAAATTTGAGATCTAGGGAATTGGGAATAACTGAAATTTAAGAACTAGGGAATTTTATATTTGTGAAATTTGAGAATTATGTAACTTCTCATTTTCAAAGTTTGAAGATTAGGGAATTCGACACTCCTGAAATGTGAAAACTAGGGAATTTGACATTTTCAAAAGTTGGGAACTAGGGAATTTCTCATTTTTCAAATTAGAGAACTAGAGAATTTAATATTTTCGAAATTTGAGAACTAACAAATTTGACTGTTACGTACGCCGATGATTTTTTTCCTTGGAGTTGGATATTCGAGAATAGTCGAAGACCACCGCAAAGAGGGAGTTTAGTCTTGCCTAGCTTTCCCAGTTACCAGGGTTTCCTTATTAGGCTTCGCTCGAGAACATCTAACGTCTTTGGACCAACGCGATGAAAATTCGTTAGACGAAAACGTCGCGTTGATTCGTTCCCACCGTTTCCACCACTACTCGGTTTCTACCCATTTTTGGGTATAAAAAGGATTGTGGAGAAGGTGCTTTGGACCCAGTAGATTACTAAACGTCGTTTAACACGGAACCTCTGTCCGAGTATCGTTAGAGTCATCGTGTTGAATCAAGAGAAGTCATTTCGAGCAAGGTCGGGTTAAAGTTGGTCCCCGTTTCGCTTGTTTTTCGTTAAAACTAGGCAGGATTAGATTCTCGCTTCGTCGGAGTCGAAACTATTCAAACTAAACTTAAAGTCAAATCAAGATCAGTTCTTGTTACATCACCTTAACCGACAAATACACTAGAACATTTGTAATACCGGTTTCGGGAAGAATATATTTTCAATCACTTATTTTATACTTAATTTTGCCTTTTGTCAAATATAACCAAAGTCCTAACAAACCCACCAGTCGGTATATCTTAGCCGCTCGAGGTATACTGGCATATCTTTGTTACGAGCACAAATACTAACATTTCCTGTGACACACGGCGTTAGCCATACGTCGGTTCGTTCACATATCATTTTCTGAGGCTGCTGGCGTTAGCCATACGTCGGTTCGTCCTTGCGTCTTGACCTTTCCTGTGACACCCGGCGTTAGCCATACGTCGGTTCGTCCCCGCGTCTACTTTCCTTTGGCGCTCAGGTTGACTAACAAACCTGAGTTAGCCTAGTAACACTACCTTTACCAAAATACAGCCCCCAGCCACGCGGCTGTGACCCCTCCGGCTCGTAACATGACACTTTCAAGATTTGAGATCTAGGGAATTTTATACTTCTTATATGTGAGAACTAGGAAATTTTACATTTGTAAAATTTGAGAATTATGCAATTTCTCATTTTTGAAATTTGAGAACTGGGGAATTAGTCACACTCAAAATTTGGGGACTAGGGAATTTGGCCTTCCCGAAATTTTAGAACTGGGAAATTTCAAATTTCCCAAAGTTGAGGACTATGGAAATTGGAACTCTTGAAATTTGTCATTTTTAAAACTTAAAGTCTAAGGATTTTCTTATTTTCAAAATTTCAGAACTAGGGAATTTGTTTCTCCTGAAATGTGAGAACTAGGGAATTTAACATTTTCTAAACTTCAGAACTAGGGAATTTGTCATTTCCAAAATTAGTGAACTAGGGAATTTGTCTGTTCTGAAATTTCAGAACTAGGGACTTTCTCATTTTCGAAATTAGTGAGCTAGGGAATTCGTCTCTCTCGAAATTTGCGGACTAGGGAATTTGTCTTTCCCGAAATTTGAAAACTAGGGAATTCGACACTTACGAAATTTGAAGTTCCAAAAAATATGAAACTTCAAAAACTTGAGAACTAGGAAATTTGAAAACCAGAAAATTTTTCTTTGGCAATTAGAAGTGAAATAATTCCAGTTTTAAATAAAAGTTTAATTACCATATATTTTAATAATATAAAACAGGAGCACTAAAAATGGAGATCATTTAAAGTTCTTCGTTTCCCAACATATAATTCACTATTCACTAATTCACTATTTATCACAGTCTAACAATTTCAGAATCAGTCGCTTTTTCTACTTCTTTCTCAACCGGGCATAATAAAAACGAGACCTCGTCCAGTTGAGCGATCATGTGTTTGAACAGAGACGTAATTAACCCGCGCAAAAGAAATAAAGAACATAACGACAAAACATAGGCGCCACCATAAATGCCAAAAACGGCTGATGTAGACACATCAAACAGGCGAAACAATTTACCGGGGAATACGGTTGACCTAATTAATGGGCACTGTGTTTATGGAGGCCCTTCTAAAATCATCGTAAATTATCTCGAATTTTTTACTCGTGAACACTGCCCGAAGGTAGACTGTTTAAGCCTGATAATTAAAACGAGTAGAAACTTTAAAAAATACGATATTTAAAATGCGAGAGTTTCTGCGCACGCGAGTTCGCGCAGCTAACGGGTTGATGTTCGCGCGCCTCGAGAGCAGCGGTCAGTTGATCGTAGACTCGCGAACTCGACGGATGTTTTATACGTGCAATTTAATTGTGATTTACACACGTGACATGAAGCACGAAAATCAAACGCTTTAAATCCAGTGCACGTGTTTCCTGTACTCGTGTGCGTCTTCTTCCGATCATCATTATGGTGAGCATTACATATTTCCTTTATTGAAACAATTCGTGTAATATTTTGTTTGGATTGTCTGTAAAAATATTAACTCAATTACTCACAATATAAGTGAACTGTTTGTTTTATTTGAGTTAATGTTTTTTGTACAGTTAGTAGTAATTAAAAATGATGTAATATTAATTTTGACTGGACAGTAATGGAGTTAATTTTCAAGAATATATTCCAAATGTTCTTATATCAATAATTAGTGATTTAT